CAATTTCTTTTACCGGTCAATTTTAAATTGGATAAAGCATTGACATTTTTTAAGAAAATAAATACAAATAAGTTATAAATAGAAAGTTTACACTAAATTAAGTATAAATTACGTGATATCTCATTTTTTTTACAAAATGGACTTACACCACTTTCAAAATAAACGGTCCATATATTGTTATTATGTTTACAGTGGAGTAAAAACGGGAAGTATATGTTTTGCTCTAACAATGGAGCTATATCGGTTTTATCGATAGAAAAAGGTTCTACGATTGAATATTTTGGAAAAGCAGAAGATAGAGAAGACCTTGATGAAGTTAATTGTTTTTCACTAAGCAATGATGATAAATTTATACTCGCTCATTGTAGGAGCGGATTTTTTAAACTGTGGGATATTCAAGGTTATTTATAATAATATTTTTTATTTGGATACTTATAGATACATTTACCTTGGTCATCTTATTTTCTTATCTATCTTATTTTTTTTTTGATATAGAACATAAGTTAATTAAAATATGGAAATCTATTCACAATGGGCCTGTTACAAATTTAACTTTTCTAAATAATCAATTGATGGCCTCAGGAGGAAGTGATAGTTCTATCAGATTATGGGATTTACAACACCATATTTGTCTAAGGCTTTTTAAGGGGATACAAGGAGTTATTAGGTATATAATTGATATATTTCTATTATTTTTAATGCAGGCATAGTTAACAAAATGAATGAATGACTCTTTTGGAGAAACAAAAACCGTATGGTAATAACAGTAAGAAGATACTATCTCTTTTGTATTATTGAATATGTGTAAGAGATATTTATAGAAAAATGATTCGAACCCATAAAAAAGAAAGTAAAAAGACACATATTTCTATTATTTTATTTAATTGAATGTATTTATTTATTGAATATTATGATTTTAGCGTGTTAGCTTTTCATCCATATAAAGAGAAATTACTGTTTGGGGCCGGAGATGATACAAAAATTTATGGCTGGGATAGTGATACCGCTCAACAAAAGATTTTACTTTCTGGTCATTCAAGTAAAATAACATCCTTATCTTTTCATGTTAATGGGATCAACTTAGTCAGGTAATTTCTAATAATATATTTTATTATTTTTAGAAAATATAAATTGTTTATTTTCCTAAATATATAGTTCCGGAAGAGATAAATTAATTATATTGTGGGATATCTCTACTTCAAACGCATTACGCAAATTAGCAGTTTACGAAGGAATAGAAGGAGCTTTTATTGTGCAAAATAAACATTTGTCAAGCAATTTCCTTACAACTGATGCAAATTCTATTTACGTTGCTGCCGCTGGTGAAAAAGGTTTGATAGTTTTTATTAAATATATTTCTTCTATAAATTATTTAATAAATGAATAAAACTTCAATTCCATAATTATTTAGGTCTCGTTACTCTATGGGATATTTTCAATTGTACAAAATTATATATACAAGAAAACTCTTTGGTGGCTGCGGCCAAAGAGGAAGGAGGAGTTTCGATTACGCATTTAATTTATAACGAAGATATTAATAGCTTTGCTGTAGTTTCTGCAGATCATCATATTATCATTTATTCTATGGAAAACTTTGGCTGTATGAAACAGGTATGTTTTGTATAATTCACAAAATTTTTTTATATCGTTTATCATGTATTACTAATATAAAAAAAATTAAATATATTATAGATTGTGGGTTACTTAGACTCCATTTTAGACATAGCCTATGTAGGAGAGGAGGATTCACATATTGCGGTAGCTAGTAATAGTTCGGATATTAAATTATATGAATTAAATTCTATGAATTGCCAATTACTTCGTGGTCATACTGACATAGTTTTATCACTTGCTACGACTCCTGCCAATAGGCAGTTATTAATTTCTTCAGCTAAGGTAACAACAGTTTAATTTTTTGTTTCATATATTTTCATTTTTTTTATACCAGTTAGATCTCTACTAATGCGCAAATGTATATATTATTAATATATTATATTTATATTATTATTATTAGGATAATAGTGTTCGAGTATGGCTTTTGGATAAGGAAACCAAAAAAATGATATGTACTGCCGCTGCTATTAAACATACAGCTTCCGTTGGTTGTGTTTGTATTTCACAATTATCAACCAAATTTTTTGTATCGGCAAGTCAGGATTCATGTCTTAAACTTTGGTCTTTACCTGAAAATTTGGCAACATCATGTAAGTTGTGCATTACAGTATTAATTTTACATGTCACAATTAGTAAAAATATTATTCTATAAAATTATTTATAAATGTTTATATTTACAGCGGACCATATTAAAATCGAGTCAACTAATACAGTATTAGCTCATGTGAAAGATATTAATAGTGTAGCAATTTCATTGAATGATGAATTTATTGCAACTGGTTCACAAGATAAAACTGCTAAAGTATAATATAAATATATATTATAATAAAAAAATATATTTATAATTCATATATTTATAATATTTTTATATATTTTATTATTTTAAACATATATTTTATTTTAGTTATGGTCTGCCAATGATCTTAAATTGATTGGTACATTTAACGGACATCGGAAAGGTGTATGGAGCGTACGATTTTCACCAATTGATAGAGTGTTATTGACAGCATCTGCAGATTGCACGATTAAGATATGGTTATTAAATGACCTTACATGTTTAAAAGTAACTAAAATTATATAATGATATATTATTATTCTTCATATAGCAAATTTATTATTTATGTAATTTTATGTATTATTTAGACTTTACAGGGACATGAGTCATCTGTCCTGAAAGCTGAATTTATGTCTTGTGGTATGCAATTGATCACTGCAGGTGCAGATGGTCTTATAAAAATTTGGAGTATGAAAACATCCGAATGTACTTTTACTTTGGCAAAACATGAGAGTAGAGTGTGGGGATTAACAGGTTAATTATATTATTTTATTTTTTGTAATTATCTTTTAATAATTATTTTTGTAAATTTTTATTTATTTTTTTATTTAGTTTCTAAAGACGAGAAACATATTATTAGCGGTGGAAGTGATTCTTTATTGATAATTTGGAAAGACGTAACAGAGGAGCGAAAAACTCGAATTGCAGCTGGAAAAGAAACAAATGTATTAAAGAAACAAAAATTAGATAATTTACTTAAATCAAATAATTTTTCCCAAGCATTAAAAATTGCTTTAGAATTGGAACAACCACTACTACTTTTAAATATTGTTGATGGTATTCAAAACTACATAATTATACTTTTGTAAAAATATTAAACACAAAAATAGATTACTGTAATCACACAAATTATTTAAAAATGTTTCATGAAAATCTCATAATTTAATTTTAAAATTATATAGGTATATTAAAAGAAGATAAAAAACAATTACAAACTACAATACGTGAATTACCACCTTCTTGTAAGCAAGTTTTATTACGTTATGCAGCTAAATGGAATACTAACAGCAAAAACGCAGAAGCTGCTCAGGTATGTAAATTAATATAATTAGAATAAAAAACAAAAATTGTCTTAGTTTTAAACTTTAATGAAAATTTATTAATCATATAATTTACAGACGGTTATAAATGCGTTAATTTGCGAAATGGAAATGCAAGATATTCAAAGCACAGATCTATTGCCTTTCTTTGAAGGTATGATACCTTATACGGAACGCCATTTTAAAAGATTAACGGAACATTTAAAAGATGTTCATTCCATTATTTACACTATTAACAGGATGAAACCACATGTTGCAATATGTAGTTCAAATGTAGATAGTGATGTATAGTAATAATATGTAAAATAATAGATAAATAAATTTAGAATCACGTATAGATTTGATGTATATAAATTAGTGATATACTAATGATGTTTACTATAAATAAAGTTTTAGAATTAGTATTATCTAGAGAATTATTTTCTTATTCTGTTTTTATAATTTGTTTAAATTTATGATAATCATGAATCATTAATACGTACAACTTTAATCGTTTGAGTGTTAATTTTTCTTGTATATTATTAGGATTAAGTGGCATAAATATAAGCTTTTTATATATATTGAAAAATACGAGAGAGTGTATATATACGCCTTTAGTAGTAAAGTTTAAATTCGATGTACATAAGAATGTGTATGTAGACTAATTTCATTTACTTGTATGTGTCAATGTATGCGTATTCTGTAAGCAGGAGAGTATGTAAAGTGGGAGCAATGTTTGGTTGGTGTCTGTTTTCCAGTAAATTTACTTACATTTGGTTTCAAGACAGTTTGTGTCTACCGGTAGAACAGTTAAGTATTACAAAAGCTTAAAATGACTCTTGGAGGAAGAGTCTTTTTATTTTTGTTTCTTTTATATTCCTTACCAAACATATTATTTGCTAAACCATCTGACATGTAAGTACAATATTATAATTATACTATATATAATATATATAATATATATTACGGAGTGTGG